CGTACAAGCATACGAGGGAGCTGACACGTTCCACCCCAGACATGTTGCATGCGCTCGACCCGAGCAGACCTCCGTCCCCGGCTACCGCACGCATCGCGGGGGTCGTGTGCATAACCTTCGCCCTCCTCTTGCATGGCGTGGCGCTCAAGGCGGGACTGCGCCTGCAGAACGCTCTTGGCATCTTCAAGCTTGTGGTGTTGACCGGTATCGCCCTGACCGGGCTGGCATCCTTGTTGCGCGTACCGGGTTTCAAGTTGGCGAACGTAAGGGCGTCATATCCCTGGTCGTGGACGATTGACTGACGGGAAGGTCTGGGCAGCCTCCACGGAACTTCGAATGGGATAGGATGTGGGAGGGAAGCCTGAAGGGCGGAGCGAATGCGTTCGTGACTGGGCTGTTCAACGTCATATGGTGCGTAGGGAGTCAATCTTCCAGTCGTTGCCTCACCTGCCATGCTTATTGGCTATGGGGGTCAGGTGCTTCATTGGGTACTCTAATGCAAACTACGCACTCGCGGAGGTCCGCGACCCGGTGCGCGCCATCAAGCGTGCTGCGCCCATGGCCATGCTTTCCGTCACCCTGGTGTACTTCCTGGTGAACATCGCATACTACGCCGTGGTGGACAAGGAGGAGATCGTTGGAAGCGGACGCATTGCGGCCGCCTTGTACTTTGGCAAGCTGTGGGGAGTTGGTGCTGAACGGGTACGCGAGCCTTTGACACGGGGAGCTCTGCATCATGCTGACGAGGTTGGATTAGATAGTGAGCGTCATTATCGCATTGTCGACCGTCGGGAATATCCTCGCGGTCCTGTTCACGCATGGACGAGGTATGGACTCGCGTGTTTGATATATTGCTTGCCTGTCTCTTACGAGACGTCCACACAGTGGTCCAGGAGCTGGGCAGGGAAGGCGTTCTGCCCTTCTCTTCATTCTTCGCCAGCAACAAGCCGTTCGGCGCGCCCTTGGGCGGGCTGTTCGAACAGTGGCTAGTCACGAGCGGCTTGGTGTTGCTCATCCCGCCTGGCGATGCCTACCTCTTCATGCTGAGCCGTTCGTGCTACCATCGAGTCACACTGCGCCCTTACTGACGAGCTGGTTCAGTGTCGTCTTATCCACTAGCGCTCATCAACATGTTCGTCTCTGGCGGCCTGCTCTTTATCCACACACCGGACATCCTGTTGCCGAAGCGGCTGCACTCTTTGCGTGCGTCGTACGACTGGGTGCCTCCGTTCAGGGCATGGACACCGGTGGTGCTGTTCTTCTTCCTCTCGAACGTCTTCCTCGTCGCGGTTCCCTTGAAGCCGCCTGCGAACGGCTACAAGGTGTACGACCACCTCCCTTACTGGGTACGTTTGCCACTCGCTATGTACTCGTGCTATTCATCTGACGGCTGCTCTTCGAAGCTCCATGTAATTGTCGCATGGCTGATCTCCTTCGGTGGAGTTGCGTACTGGTATGTATGGTGCGTATGGCTGCCGCGGAGAGGCGGCTACGTCCTGGTCCGCGACTGGGTGAGGGACGACGACGGGTCGACGCGCAGAGTAGTTCGCAAGGTCGTGGTGTCGTCTCCCGATGCCGCGCTGTAGTGACGAGCGCTGACTGGAATGGACACTGACGCGGGCAACGCTCGAGTGGGTGCTCGCGCCAACAAATGACAACATCGACTCACATCAAAATGCAGGCGAGTGGATCCGGCTACTTAGGATGAATCTTCTGGGGAGTTCCTTTGGGAGTGCGAGCACCGACACTTGCCTTTCCTGGCAGCCTGTCCAACGGATGACGTCTAGCGCCCAGCGTCATGGTATGATGCAAGTGTTCCACTTGGTCCCACCGCTCGGCCAGCCACGACCACATATAAGCCTGACCCAACCATGAAGACACTCCTCACTAACGTTCACGACCTTCCACGCACACGACACATTCAAATCGCACATTTTCATTCTTCACTCGCATCCATAATCCATCATGTCCAACGAAGCTATCACTTCCCACCGCCACAACGACTTCGTTGGCGGCGAGGCCAGCAGGAATCGCATCCCTGGCGCTGACCAGGCGACCACTGGACACCACTTTGTCGCCGTTGACCTTCCACGAGGTGTGTAACTTCACGTTTGCAGCTCGTATCTGCGCACGAACTCACAACATTCGTACAGACCAGAAGCGGCACGCCGACCAGCACCAGCCTCAATCAACAGGCCGTGATGCTCCTTCAGCAGGAGGAGCAGCGCCTGGAACGCATTCGAGCGGTTCAGGACGTGAGTATGCTTCCTTCCATCCCCGCCGACCCTGTATCTGACGTCCAATCAGCCCTCCAGTCAGATATCCTCAGCTCACGCGAAGGAGCCGCTCGCGGCCCTTCGCCCGTCCACCGCGTCGAAAGCAACACGCAGCCACTCGCTCCTGCCCCTGACTCGCGGACGGTCATCGACAGGGACCCGTACGCGACGCCCACCTCGGCGGGCGACACTCTCCAGGGCGCAACGTCGCAAGACGTCTACACGGGCATTGGCAAGCCCGCTGGCGGCATGAGCAGCGCGGAGATGCATCATGACGGCCAGGCGCACCGCAAGAGGCATCACCTGGGCAAAGACCAGTACGGCGCGGGCGTGGTTCCGAGGGAGGTTCCGACGGAGGAGGAGCAGGAGAGTTGATTTTCCTGAAGACGTGACGCTTCAAACAACAATGTGTACGATATCATAAGTGCTGTACTGTAATGGACGACTGTTCACTTGAACACCACCGAATTGAACGTCAAGGCGACTCCTCGAGCAAGCCTGCTGGCGTACCGTGTACGTATGAGCGCGAGATGCATCTCGCATCGCCAACACCTGGGCCCAGAACAATGTGGCTCGGGCGAGATCCCAAAATCCAGGAGCAACCGAGTGACATGTAAAGGCCGAGCGGCGCGTGTTGTCCAATACAGGAGGAAATGGGTCGATTGAGATGATACGAACGCACAGAAGCTTCAAATACGATATGCAGGGTAATGGTTACTTTGCGGGCAATGGATCAGGTGAGAACCAACGCAGGGAAATTATGGTCAAGTGGGAACCATTCTGACACGGCGACGCTGTCCTCATCCCACCTTACTACAGGGAGGCTTGCGCAAGAGTCCAATTGGGCATCGTCTTCGCGATGAAGTGTGACCGCTTCGATGGGCAGTACGGCAACCGGTATACCGAGGTGGCTTGATGGGCAATCTGCGAAGCAAGGATCGTGGATCGATGTCAGGTAATACGCGAGTGCATCATCTTCTTCGAGCACCTCTGGTTCGGAAGTGTCAAGTTGTCAATTTCACGGGTGACGGGACCAGGGAAAGCATCATTATAGACCGACCTTCTGATGTGACTGCGCAAGTTGCCATTTCGTACGAAGATCCAAGAACCCTGACTGCATTGTACCCCGATATAAGCTGCGCGGATTGGAGGAAAGATGCATTTTTGCTGAGTAGAAACATAGATTATGCGGATATCCAGTCAGTGTCGTCCCTTGGCTGAGCAGTATGAAGAGCACATGGTAAAGTACACACCTATGGCTCCAGCAGTGCTCACAGGTATACCAGTGTTCGACAGAACCCACTTCAAAGCCCATGTCCGGCAGCCGCGCCCAGGCGACGGCGAGGCTTAGAACCCGGATCCTGCTCCCCGGCCGAAGGGAGCCAGCCAAACCTGCTTCGTTCCAGATTAAAGTCTTCGTGGCATTGCAAACAAGGCTGTAGCCGCCCTGATGGACCAATGACCGAAGATGTCCTGGCCATTGGAATGACAAAGCACCCATCATTGCGTGCAATTGCCATAGGCCGTAGTCAACAAGGTGCAAGGGCAATGTTGTCTCGAGCCCGCGCCAGTCTACAAGAGTGATGGCGTTGGCGTCGGTGTAGCCAATCTTACACGGCAACTGCGAGATGGCGTTGTACAACTCACTCAAGCGCATGTGCATCGTCTTCTCAAACCGGACGCACTGCGTCTTGAGCTCGTCGATGTTAGACCTAAAGACACATCATCCTCAGTCAGCACGCTGCCACCGAACGACCGGACCACGAGCACCATACAGATTGCACGCCGTCATGAGCGTCGTGAGATTCGCGCGGTGCGTCGCGAGCTTCGCCCGCGTCTCCTGCACGTCCTGCGTCTTGAACAGCGCCCACCCGATCTTGCGCCAGCTCGAGCCCCCGCCCCCGCCCCTCTGAGTCGCCGTCCGCCCTGTCACGGTCTTCCCGCTGCTGTCCCCGAGGGCCTTCTGGTACCCGCGGATGCGCTCCCACAGGGCGTCCATGACCTCCCGGCAGCGCCCGATCTCCGCGACGAGCGCGCGGACGACGTCCTGCCGGAGCATGCCCGTGCGGGTCGCGGTGTCGGCGAGCTGGAGGACGTGCGCGAGCGCGTCGAGCTCCTGTATGAGGTACTGGTACTCGTAGGACGAGCCGGAGCTGGAGCTGAGCGCTTTGGAGATGCGCATGGCGAGGTCGACGGCGGTGACGATGTCGCCGAAGGAGCTGAAGGAGATCGGGAACGGCATCGAGGGGGTGAGTAATTGCGAGTAGGTACTTGAACACAGGCTGGCCAGCCGTCCAGGGGAGACAGGGCACAATCGGAGTCCCTCAGGGTCAGGGAGGAAAGGAGCCCCCACCCCGCGACCTATCGACGATTTATGTCAGGCAAACCCAAGTAGCAGCCAAGGTTATTCTCACCGGATTGCTTCTACGGGCGGTGCATACTTTATGACACGTATTAGGGCGCGACGAGAGGCGATGCCCTGGAGAGGTAGAGTACAGTAGGATCGAGCCTCGCAAGCCCGCTTACGCTTATAGTATACTTGATGAGCTTGAGTTGCTGCACTCTACAGTTCGGCGGCCGTCGTTCTGTCCAGCAGCGACTGGATGGCGGCGTGGCGTACGAAATATGGCTTGGCGGTGAGCGTGCTAGAAATTGGTCAGTGCGCTAGCTTGACGGATCCCATAAAAACTTCACTGCGGCAAAAGCTTATGAACGCAGATGGCAAGCCCACCGCGAGGGTCGAACTCGCAGCCTTCAGATTACATGGCACGCCGATGCATGCGTAAAAGTCTGACGCTCTGGCCGATTGAGCTAGGCGGGCTTATTAAAGATCGGTACCAAAGCAGCGATATACGCAAACAGCCTGTGACGTAGTGCCTCGGCTAGCGAACTTCGACGTTCGTTCAACGATGCGAAGACGGCTGCAGGTCGTGAATCGAAGCAGAAGCCGAATCGCTTGTGAAGCATGGCCCACCCCTGGCGACATGTCCGAATAGAACCAACGATGACTCCGGCCGCTGCCCGGCGTGGTGTCCCAGACGAGACCCTGCAGACGCAGTTCTGCGCGTAGGCGACAAGACGGCGACGGGCAGCAACGGTGAGTGACAGTCATCAGCGCGGGCGTCGACGGTGCAGCTGACGGCGGGGGATTGAGCGGGAAGCCTGCCGGATCGGGCGAGAGGTTTAATCTGACCCGAGGGAGAGACGGACGTCGACCGTCTGCGGAAGTCGGCCTCACATTCTGTGTGTCACTCGCACGCGAGGCGCACTCGATATGGCAGCGGGAGGCACAGCTTGTGTCGAGGATCGCCTCTGTCCGTCGCTGGCTGCGATGTCGCTGCCGGATGCGGACGAGGGCTGCCCGCTGCTGTCGAAGAGAAGCTCATGGTTTGATGGACGGCGTCCCTGCCGCGGTATATAAGCCCCCGCCCCGCGTCCCCGCTCCCTTTCGCCTGCCCGCCCGCCCATCCTCTAATTCCCCAGCCCTAATCGCTCTCCAGACAACCTTACCTCGCTCTCCTCGTAGTACACGCCCGTCCCCGGGCTCCCAGCCGTCCGAGTACAGCTAATCTCTGCATACTACTTCCTCGTATCCCGCTCCCAGTCCTTATATCGTCCTCCTCGCACCTCCGCTCGCTTCACGTCTTCCCCTGCAATGTCTACCTCGCCAACTCCTGCACAGTATTCTCCAGCACGCTCTCCCCCGCTCTCGTCCGCTTTCCCTCGCTCTCCCGCCCGCGACACGCCCGCGACACCTCCTACCCTTCCCCACGCTCCTCCCACTCCGCCTGATTCCTCGTCTCGCCTAGCAGCGAACGTCCTGTGCTCTCCTCGCTCCGTCACAAGTTCAGACGCGTCGTCCGACCTCTCTCTTTCTGCTGCATTCTCAGCTTCGGCGTCTCAGTTCCAATCACGTTTGCTCGACACGCCCATTGACATTCATTGCCTTGCCCCCGAGCTCGACAGCCCGGCGGTGCTCCAGGATCCCGCAGCAACTGCCGAGCGCGAGACCTTCACGCCCCGCGAACATAGCAGCCCAAGTATGTGTCATATAAGTACACTCGACAACGTGCGCCCGCGTACTGATTGCTGTGCACTTCCAGCGCCTACCCACGAAGCAGCGGCCCGTAAAGTGTCTCCAGACACTCTACCCCCGCCGTTCATCCCAGCTGCTGCACGCGCTCAGGCTGCCTTCCAAGAAGCGGCACAGCAGGCAGAAGTCGCAAGCCCCCCGTCCCTTGACTCGGATCCGCGGCCCCCAAACGTCTACATCAATGGATTGCCTCCCAACTTCCCGGAGGAGGATCTTCTTGCCATGACGCGCCCGTTTGGCGCAGTCCTGAGCGTGCGGACCTTCACCAGGCACGTCAGTGACAAACCTTCGTAAGTAGCCAGTTCTTGGCTCTGGGGACCACCGTTTTTCGAATCCTTGCCTGATTGACGCGCATATACAGGGGTTATGGGTTCGTTCTGTGAGTCTGTCGTCCATATCCGTTGTGATCAATGTCCTGACCCCCTTCTCAGCTTCGAGCGCCTCTCGGCTGCGGAGAAGTGCATCGAGTCGCTGCGCAAGTATCGTAATCTGCACCCCTCCTTCTCCAAGGTAATCTCGATTGGTATCCGTCTTGTATGCAGCTAATTGGATACGCATACACGCATACAGCAAGTACACAAGATCCCTGGTACAGCCTACGCGACTGTCCCAGCAGCCCTTACTTCCAACACCGGCCCAGCAGATTCGTTCAAGGTGAAGATGGAGCAGCTCGGCGATCAAGCATCTACAAATTTGTACATGGAGGGTTTGCCGTTGAGCATCACTGAAGAGACCCTGCGCGCCCTCGTTACGCCGTATCGCGTCATGAGTTCCCGGTTCTTCCATACTCGCCTCAGCAGCCCACCGAGGATCATCGCATTCGTTCGGTGAGTTTTCACCGCAGAGGAGGTTCATCACTTGCTCAACATCTGCACAGGCTCGAGAGTCGCACTGCAGCCGAAGACATCGTCGAACGTCTGCATGGACGACTAGTGAGGGGATGGAACGACGCGGGATGCCGGATCTCAGTTAGATTCGCAGATACAAGCGAACAGAGGGAGCTCAGGGTACGTCGAGCTGCTTGTGGGCACCGTTGAGGAGTCGCTCACGAGATGGATTTATTGCAGCGGACAGAACGTCACACCCGCGAGGACGAGCAGTCGCCAGCTCGTCTGACCATGGCTCGTGCCGCCCTCCTGAACATGAAGGGTTCACACTATCAAGCTACTGACCAGTCGCCGACGCTGACTGACATCGGCCTCCAAAGCTTGCCCAGCACAGCGAATGGGAACCTCGGCCTCGCCTTTAACCAGTTGGGCTTTGGCAATATCGGAAGCGAAGTGACCCCGCTGCATGCTACGTCTCCCCTCTCCAATCAAGGCCCCTTCGGCCGTCATGGTACCGAGCTTGGCGCAGGTGTCAGCGTCCCAGGCTACGACGCTCTCCAAGCACGGGCGGCCAACGCTCCCGTACAGAGTCTCCGTCTGCCTCAGCAGCTCTCGGACACCGGGTTAGGATCAGCCGACGACCAGAGCGACCTGCAGCTGGCGTTGCTCGGGATGGGTATCCAAGGACTCTGCGCTCGCGCGTCGAACGGTTACACCCCCGTGGAGCAGCTCATCTTGCACGCACATGCTCGTCAGCAACGCTCGGGCGCTGTCACGGATTCCTTCCCGGGGCGACTCCAGCAGTCGCAGCTAGGGACGTCTGGTGCGCTCATCGACGACCAGCGTGCAGAGACAAACCGGCGTTTGCTGGACTTCCTGCCCCCCATGTCTGAGGATGACTTCCACGCTACTGCCGGGCTCGTGCAAGACCCGCGCTCGCTTGTCCGAGGCTTCGGCTTCGCTGCTGGTGAAGAGCAACTTGCGCTTGATCTGGAGCGGCAGTTGGCGCTCTCGGGCCAACAGACGCGTCAACGCAACCACACGCTGGCGACGCAGGCTCGTTCGGAGGTCGATAACCAGGCTGTGCACATCCGGTCGTCCACGTTGCCCTCTCAATACCTCGGTGCCCGCTCGCATACCACTACCGCTAATGTCCCCTTATACGACTCCAACATCAGTCTCCACGCCAACAATCCGAACCGCAACACGCAACGCGCAAATATGAACAGCACTCAGACCACGCACAGCAAGCACGCCCCATACGTCGCCACAGGCCCATCGCGCAGCGTCGGCCACTCCCTACCCGATACCCAGACACTATTCTCCAGCAAGCACAACATCAACGTCTCGAGCGGCGTCTCTCGCCTGAACATGAACCCCAGCACTATGAACTCGTCTGTCACCATGAAGAACGGCATGTCCAAAAGCCCTGCGATGTCGGCTAGTCATTCCGCTGGCGTTGCGCAGACGCAGCACGGCGATGACGAAGACGAGGAGTCGCCGGTGGTCTCCCCTGCACTCACATACTCGTCTCGCACTCCCGCCTCGCTCAGCCCGGCGACGCCGTACTCGGGCTTCTTCGCTGACGGCGGAGAGGCGTTCAAGGGACCGAACGTCACCGTCGTCGGTAGCGGGATGTGCGTCGGCGACGTGCGCCTCGAAACCCACGTCGTCGAGAAGCAGAAGGTGACCAGCGGTGCGCCTCTGGAGAGTCAGTGATGCCGCAGAGCGCATGTGCACTCCAGGTCGCGGAGGGCCCACAGACACGATCCTCGCATGACCATCGTCCTTCTCCACTCGCATTTCTATGTTTCCGGTCATTCTTGGGTCGCAGTGTTGGATCAGGCAGCTGCAGCGGTGCGATTGCACCGCGGCGCGACTCTGATTCGGATGTTGCATTCATAGATGTTTGTTGTACGAATAGACAGCAGGGTTGTGTTGTTGTACATCAGTAACAGAAGTAGTCCAGTGTTCGAATACAAGCAGTAGTTGCAGAATACGCATGCGCCGTGCGCGTGAGTCGTCCCGCTTGCCTGTGCCCGAGAAGCCCGGTTGGGCGTCCGCCTATCTGCCACGTGGGTGACGGTGGGCGAGTGTTTGTTTGGCCGTGTAGGCGAATGCGGAAGGCGTCGGGAAGGCGATCGCGCACTGTGGGCGTCGACCTGCGTCCACCGACGGATTGCCCTTCGCGAGCAGCTTATATACCCTCGCCCGCTACCGTCATGGACCCATCCCACCTGCTCGCATCCTCTAGAGCCCTCGAGTCCAATCCTTACTCCATCACACGCCTGTCGCAATGTCTTCCATGGCCTCCACCTCCACCTCGCGCCCCACCATCTTCGGTCTCTTCGACCGCACCGCGACCCCCGTGCAGGACATCGACATCGAGGCCCAACTCGCGCCCCCATCTCCGGCTCGCATCCACACCCCGCGCGCCGTTCGCGCATCGATTGAGGAGACGACCGACGCGGTCGACGACTTCTTCGGGGCCTCGCGCCCTTCGGGCACGCACGAAAGCCGACACGACGAGCTTCGTCTCTCGGCGCACACGGACGCGGACGCGGAGTCCGAGACGTCGATGCTCCCCCCGCCGTACGAACAGTGCTCGGGGCTCGAGCCGCCGGCGTACTCGCGCGTCGCGGACCAGCCCACGCTCGCGATGTACCTCTTCAAGTTTGGTTTCCGTGAGTCTCCCTGCGCTCCGTGTGGATCGAGAGCAACTGTGCTGACTAGGAACGTGCTCTCTCTCCCAGTGCTCCCGCTGTTCTGGCTCGCTGGCGCGCTGATCCTGCTCTCGCCGCTGCGCGCGCCGTCCGACTGGGAGGCGTCCAAGCCCGAGAGCGAGCGCGCGGAGCTCATCGAGAGCATGCGCCGCACGGAGGTCCGGTGGGCGCGGCGCTG